CTGCCATTAATAAAGCTGTCATTCTTTTTTTATTCTTTTTTTTCTTCTCTTCCTCCTGATCTCAATTATAATTAAAACCACTGTGGCCATTTTAAGAAGGTTCTCCAGGTTATGATTGGGGCCTAGAGCCAATTTTTAAAGTTTTCTTTTAATATGCAGGACAGCTTCAATGATAAGTTTATCTTTTAAAATAGTTTGGCCCTCTAAGATGTTGGGTGAGCATGTTTTCTCATCACCTCCCTAAGCTGCTCAAGAAAGGCTGAGAGACTTTCATTTTGCTCCTGGTAAATAGTAGACAACTTAGAATAATTCATAAGATTTCTCTTGGATCGACAAACCTTCCAGGGTACATGTTATAAAATGTTTATGCCACCAGTCATCTTGTTTCTCAGGGTCGCATTCAAGATCCTCAAAGGTAACTGCCTGTCTTCCCTTGGGGTATCTGTCCCTTTTTTCAGAGGACATTCTATTATTAGTATTGGACATGAACCACAAATCACCCCACTTTCTCACCTCATCCAAGACTTTATTTTTCTCATTCAAAGTTAAATTTTGATGTAGTAGTAGTATTATATCTCTCTAAGAGAGATCAAAGCTTTGCCCTAACTCTTGGAGAACATTTGTGTACCTATCTGTGTCATCAGAAAATTTTCCTAAATCAACCTTGATTTGTTTTAAATCTGTCAGACAATCAAAGGACATAAGGAAGGATACAGTTGCTTTCTGTGGATCCCAACAGGATCAGAGGAAACTCTTGGAACAGACTCCTTTTTGGATTTTTCTAAATGCATAGAGGAAGGTGCAGAAGAAGTACATGGCAAGTTTGAACTAGGTGGTTACAGCATCTCTCTCAGGAATCCCTGGCCATTTGGGAAAATTACTACAGCCAGGAGAGCTGGATCTATCTGACAGGTTTTGTACAGTTGGGGATTGTCTCTGAGAAAAAAGTAAGATTGGACATAGGGTACTTCAGACTACTTCTCTTTTCGTTTACCATAATTTAGAGTACCCTCTGGTGGACATTATTCACCATTAGAGAGTAGATACTAAGGCCAGGCCTGGGTGCAGAAGAAAACCATACATTTCTTCCTGAGCGTCTGGGGATAAAATATTTTTCAATGTTTTAGAATACAGCCCAGAGGGATGTTCTGTCAGCATAGGTACAAAAATCAGGTATCCAGGAGCCATAGTGGTCCCATCTGATGAAAGTTCTCTTGGTAATAGAACATATTACTGAGTTCTTCTCCTAAAGAGAGAATGTCACCCATCTGTGGGAAAGAACAAATGTCCAGAATCTTAATCAATCCCAGCCTCTGTGTTCTTAGGTTGTCAAAGCATCCTCTGACTAAACCAGGAAGCCTCTGGCCAAAGAAAAGGAAGCATCCTTCTGCTGCTTGGGGAGGAATTCCTGAGGAGGACCATCTCCCCACTCTACGCACTTGTCTGGATTTAGCCATGATTACCAGTGTAGCACTTTGTATACCTGTGGGCTCTCCTGTGCTTATTGCAGCCAGAAGCACAGACCAAAAAATCAAGTATATGGGAGCCTCATCCCACTTGTTGCAAGTTCTGCCCCTTTTCTGCACTTGGAATTGAGTATATACCTGTCAATCAAAGTAGGGACAAGCCCAGCCATGCAGAAAACAGCTGTGTGGTACCTGCATATGTAATCTTAACAAGCTTTTTCTAAATTTCCAGTAAGAAAGTAAAATAGGCTTTTTATCACAAGCAGTTATTAAATGCTTTGTTTGCCATCCTCTTTTCTTTCTGAAACATTAGCAAGGCAGCAGTAGTCAACCTCAGTTAAAAAAAGGGTTGAGAGATATTTTTAAATTTTTGCATGAGAATTAGTTATACAATTAGTTGAAGTCTTAGAGAAACCTGGAATGTCTTTGAACTTTTCCATTTCCACTAATAGACCAGAAAATAATCAAGTATCCAGGGTCCTTTTCTTTACCCTTAATTTTTTAAAGGTTTTCTTTAAATTTTCTGTTTTCCTAAGAATAGAATGAACTGTACTCTAAGGTTTAGGGCTGTTCTTGCCTGCGGAATGTTCCCTGGGCTTTCCCCAGGTAGGCTCCTGGTTGCCCAGAGAATCCCTGTACAGGAGTCATGTTGCCCTTTTGTTCAGAGCCTACTTCTTGGCCTCTAACCCCTCTAACCATTAACACAGTTCAGCATTTTTCAAAAACATGCAGAAACGCTAACTGAATTTAATTTTGGAGTGAAAGGCGATGAAAAGGGACCTTGCAACATCTGAAAAATACCAGAGAGAGCCAGTACAAACTTAACTAAATATAAATAGTGATCCCCTACCAATCTTTAAACAAAGCAAGCAAACTACAAGGAGAGAGAGAGAGAAAATGGCAGGGGTCTTTAGAGATAAGTAGAAGAGGTTTGGGACCCAGGAAACTATGAGTGGATAGTAAAAGAGCTGGGAGAGCACATTTTCAGAAGGCTCTCTAGTGCTGTGGGGTCAGAACTATTTCTAGGGACCCTAGGACTTCTGGGTGCTACTTCTGTTTGCTCAGCTCTCAATCAGAGAAAAGGAGTGGAAACAGAATGGGTTCAGAAGCCTCCTTTTTTTTAATTAAGTCATACACGTAGATCAAGAATACATTTATGCATATGTGGAATACAACATTCCCTTCAGCGCCTTTCTTTTGGAGCTAAGGAGAATTAGAAATTTCATCCCTCAACAGTTTCTAGCCCATGACCTGGAGGTCAGCAGCCAGGCTGTGCACTTTTAGGGGCTAATGGGCATCTAGATTATTAGTCTCCATTATTATGATTATAGAAAAAAACAGAATAGAGTTAAATGGTCCCATTCCTTGCTACAGATCTTCAATCCTGGGTGGGCCCCAAAAATGTTACTGGTATTTCTTCCTGCAGTAGGTCCTTAGTCTTGGGGATTGGAAGAATGCGTCCATAGACCACAGATCAGTGGTAAGATAGGATTTATTAGATAGAAAGGAATACAGAAGGAATAAAAAGCACCAGAGATTCTGGCAGAGGAAAAGACCCAAGTGGGAAGTCTCCACGTGGGTCCCTTGTCTAGGGGTATAAGATCTTGAGAATTACATTCGGCCAGGACTTGGCAGATAAGAGACACATTATCAAAGTCAATGAGCATAATAATAAATGAATGCAGTCCCTTCATGAAATTACCCAGGCCTAGGAAACTGGGGCCCCTGTCCAGCCTTGAACAGGGAACCCTGTATCGCTATGACCCAGCTTTTTTGCAAAGCCTTCTCTTAGATGTTCAATTGGTCTAGGTCAGGGGTCCTCAAACTTTTTAAACAGGGAGCCAATTCACTGTCCCTCAGACCATTGGAGGGCCGGACTGCAGGCCCCAGGACAAGTTGGCTCCTAAGCAGGACAGGTAGCCGTGGCAAAAACACGCAGCGGGCTGGATAAATGTCCTAGGCAGGCTGCATGTGGCCTGCGAGCTGTAGTTTGAGGATGTCTGCTCTAGATGTTCCTTTTCTATGTTTTAATCATGCCCTGTGAATATTGCTGTCAAACGATATAGGTAGTCCCCAAGTCATAAACATCCAACTTACATATACATCACACTTACGAAAGCTATTACCCACTTATGACTGTAAGCAATATAATACAAGCAATTACTTAAATAGTAGCAACTAATGTACTAAAACTGTTTTACTTTAAAAAAAAATATTGTCTTACTGTTGTAATATGTGTACTAATTAATGTTTGACTTGAGAAGTATGTTCACCATATGTATTTAGAAAATAATTCTACTAAGTAGAGAGGGAGCAAGTGGACAAAAATAAAGACCTGTCTATTGTCTGAGACAACACTATTCTTTCCAATTCTCACAATTCCCAAAGGAGTAAGCGCCAGTCTGACAGAACTGCTAGCAATTCTCCTGAAGATTTGCTAATATGGCTTCACAAAGGGAGGGCTTTTTAATTCCTATGGCCAAAACCTCATTATGCTGCTCGAAATTCTATTATCCCGCTAGAATTTTGGTCTTTTTACTTAAGGTTTTGACCATATGTAGAGATTCAAATACCCTTCAAGCCTCATCGCTGCCAAATATACTGTAGTATAGATTGAATGAGTTACTCAGGTTTGTCTTACAAGTTTTAATTTTGACAAAAATGGTATGAAGAATTTGAAAACACTTTTGAGAGGAGCTGAAATCAGTACTGAAAAGGAACAATACAAGAAGTGGAAAAGAGGGGGGGAATAAAACTTTTATTGGGCCAGACGCAGTGGTTCACGCCTGTCATCCCAGCACTTGGGAGGCTGAGGTGAGTAGATTGCCTGAGCTCACAGGTTGGAGACCAGCCTGCATCAGAGCGAGACCCTTATCTCTAAAAATAGCTGGGTGTTGTGACATGTTCCTATAATCCCAGCTACTTGGGAGGCTGAAGCAAGAGGATCACTTGAACCCAAGAGTTTGGGGTTGCTGTGAGCTAAGATGCTACGGCACTCTACAAAAGGCAACCAAGACTCTGTCTGAAACAAACAAACAAAAAGTATTAGTGGCATTTGTTCACCCAGGGTGCATTTATTGCCAAGCACTGAGGACTTCTAATGTAGCCACAAATGAACTGGTGCTAGTGGATGGTACTAACAATTTCTACATATTTTATTGTCTTATTTTTCAGATGTTGTTCATTTTAATAGATCAGCTAATTGCAGAAAAATTATTTTCATTTGTGATTATAAATTGAATAAGTGCCATTATGATATATCAAAAGCAAGATAAAATTAATAGAAGACAATCATTTATATATAATCAGTGAATACATTTTCCTAAGGTTGTCTACCTTTTTTTAAATTTTTGCAGCAAACAGGACTTTGAGTCTACTGATGAGGTAAGTGCAAATATAGTCAAAAATTAAATATAGTAGATAACAAAGTAGATTCTGATATTTGTGTCCAGACCGAGGAGTCGATCCGCCTATCACCCAAACTAATCAATGGAGAAGCAGATGAGAGATCAACAATTCCACTTTTATTTACAGAAAAGCTAGCAATTCCAGAGAACAGTGATGATATCTCCTCAAAGAGCTGTTTTGCCTTTTTGTTTCTCTTTGTTATTTTTATGCCTTCATAGTAAAAGCATACATTAATAATGTTATTAATCAGCATAGTATACATTAAACATACCCCCCCTTATTTGTTACAAAGTCAGTATATCTCTCACTTTCAAGGTGGCTGTATCTTAACAGTATTTAAATGTTTTAGTTAATTAATTATTTTTTTATTTATTTGGAGACAGAGTCTCGCTCTGTTTCCCAGGCTAGAGTGCACAAAATCATAAACTTACTTAAAACATTATGGTATTTTTTTTTGTTGGGACTTGATTGCACGGTTCTTGAGAGTGAACTTTGTAGATTACAACATTGTGTCATAGTGTCACATAAAATAAACATACATGGACTCTCACTATGAATGTGTGGCTTCGGTTTTATAGCAGTGTGTGGCTTCTAGTGTGCTATCTTCCAAGTGCAGAAAGTCTAATTAACACCATCACAAGTTACGTGCATTCATGATGCCTTGATGGGACAGTGATTATCAATAATATTTTAACCCACCATTTCAACATTAGGCCATTTATTATTATTTAGAAGTCAGGTAAGCATTCTCATTTGATTATTAAGGGTACTTCCACATCTCAGCATCACCGCACACATTGCCCGCTGCATTTTACAGTTGGCCATCCACCTTGCCCTGTATTGGTAGCCAAGATGTATAAGGGCCCAAACCTTGCTTTTTATTTTCCTGTCAATTAATTTTAATAATGAAAGTAAATACAATTTTGTATCTATTATTATTTTTTAATCCCAGCATAGCTTCTACTTAGTTTCAAAAGAAAAACAGAACACCCAAAATAAAAATTATGGATGAAGGAAGATTAAAGTGGAAAGATGAATATTTTTTGTGGAGGCAAATATTAGGGAATTTGTGCAAGTTTTCAAATACTATAATTTGAAAAGGCATTATGGACAAAAACACCTTCAATGTGTATAAAAAATTATGTTGTGTTGTGAAGAAAAATAGAAGAATTAAAACAACCTGTCTTCAACAAAATTTTTTTGAAAGTTACAACTCAGATGGATTCCATTGTAAAAGCTAATTATGTGGTAACATTTAATGGTAAAGAAATTAAAACCATTTACTGGTGATAAGTTTATTAAGCAATGTATGGAAAGTATGGAAGATAAAATTTGCCCTGAAAAAAAGGGAGGATATTTCTAAAATCAGTTTGTCTCACCCTCCCACAACTAGGCGAATTGAAGAAATAGGAAAATTTATTGAAAGAAGTTTAGAGAGTAAAGCTGCTAATTTTAAATGTTATGCTTTGGCAATGGATGATAACACTGATGGCACAAATATGGCTCAACTTTCCATTTTTAGTAGATTACTGATTATTAATATAATATCACTGAAGAGAAGGCTTCATTAGTGCCATTAAAAGACACAACTAAATCAAGAGATTATACAAAGTAATAAAAATATGTTAAAGTGATTTCATTTGTCCATTGTCAACATATCTGATATAGTTACTGATGGTACCCTAGTGATAGTAGGTAAAAGAGAGGGACTTGTAAAATTAATAGAAGATGATGCAGTTGCTACCCAAAAGCATGTTTGTAAAGTATAATTACATAGGACATCAAGAAAATTTGTGTTCAAAAGTTTTAAAAATGGATAATGTCATGCAAATTTTCATCAAGACTGTGAATTTCATAAGGGGTAAGGGATTGAATCATAGCCAGTTCCAGGCATTCATTACAAGTATTCATGCTGACTATAGTGATACCATTTAGTTTTCAGAAGATGGCTAAGTTAAGGCCAAATGTTGAAGAGATTTTATGATTTGTGGCATGTTATCAAGTTATTTATGGTATCAAAAACCAAATTTGTGCCACAACTTGGTAAAAAAAAACTTGATTAGAGATTTAGCACTTTTAGTGGATCTAACTGCTCATTGAAATGAGTTTAAACATGCATTTTCAAGATGAAAACCAATTTATCAGTATAATGTTTGAAATCATCACAGTTGTTTCAAAGTGAAATTGAAATTATGGCAAACTAAAATTAAGGCAAATAAGTTTATACATTACAATACATTGGGTAAACACAGACCTGTAAATAGCAAAAAAGATTCAACCTTGTTTTTTGATTTGATAAAATAATTTGAAATATTTCAATATTTCTGGGAAAATAATCAATATTTTGGTTCATTTGCCACTCCATTTTCAGTTGACTTAAATAGGTTACCAGCCAATTTTCAAATGGAATGCATAGAGCTACAATCTTACATTCATCTTAAAGAAAAATTTAATCATATCTCTTTACTAGACTTTTATAGGTAGTATCTTCCCAGAGATAAATATCCCTTGTTTCATAATTATGCCTTTTTCATGTCATTACACTTATATTGGAGAACAATTATTTTGAAGAATGAAGTACCTTAATAGTAAAATTAGAACCAAACTATCTCATAAGCACCTTGAGAACTCACTGAGAATTTCAAGTACTTCCACTGAACTAGACGTTAATGTATTACGGTAGTTTCTCCCATAGAGTGTTAAATACTACATTAGATATATGTTACCCACTTTTCTATTACTTTTACAATAAAAATATCAAAACAATTTTATTATTTAGATATGTACATTTTCTGTATTAGTGATCACACACTTGGGACCTACTCAATCATTTTTAAAGATTCTCTGAATGGGCCACTATATAATTAAGATTATTATGTGAACACTTTTGTGCTTATCTGTGGTGGTGGGTATGACCATAATTATATATTAAGGTATGAAGGTTTCTTTTTTTTTTTTTTGGTAATCAACTTTCCTTCGTATTTGCATGTTTAATGTGTGGCCCAAGACAATTATTTTTCTAATGTGATCCAAAAAAGCCAAAAATTTGGACATTGCTGATCTACATGATTAACTAAATAAACAATAAATTTAGTTTTCAACACCTTATTTGTGTGTGCCACATCAAATAGCCCTTAACCTCGAAGCCCTCAAGTGTTAATACTATTATATATGTACATTTTGTTAATAATTGCTTATAATAGAATAAGTAATCATATAGAGAAAGAACTGAAGGGTATTACAAAATCTCCATACATAGGCAAAATTAATAAACTTTAATAATGGCAGATATCTCGAAATGCATTTGTCGTAAGTGGGATAAGAGTGTGTGTGTGTAGGAAGAGGTAGCCAACCCATAGAAAGTATTTTTTATATATTTTGTAAAATTTTGTAATGAATATCTTGTAAATAATGGTATATTTAGCTACAATTTCCCATTTTCCCTATGCAGGGCAACTTTAGGGGCACTTTGTAATTTCAGTGTAATAAAGATAACACTTGCTTCTTTGTGTCAATTTTTGTCCTCATTTCTAAGGTATTGCCATACTGCATTCATTGCAATAATTCAGTAAGTCCTAAATTGCCTCTAAAGGGTACTTATATCAATTCAGCTTCTCACTTAGAATTAATTGAAACTTCTCAATGTTGCTGTGGCACCATCAAAATCTTTCAAAAGTCACCGTAGCTCTATGTAAATTCTCAATAAATCTTACAACAATGCATTTTTAAATTTAAAAAATCAGCCTCTAAAATGGCACATCACGCAACAAAACTTCCAGTTGCTGACAGATACAAAGAATAAAGTGCTTAACGGTGTTGAATAGACCATTTTGTTTTTAAATTTCTCCTTTTAAAAATAGAAATGGAAGGCTCGGCACCCATAGCACAGCAGTTACGGCATTAGCCACATAACACCAAGGCTGGTGGGTTTCAACCTGCCCTGGACCAGCTAAACAGTAACCACTGCAACCAAAAAATAGCTGCGTGTTGTGGCTGGCACCTGTAATTGCAGCTACTTGGGAGGCTGAGGCAGGAGAATCGCTTGAGGCCAAGAGTTTGAGGTTGCTGTGAGCTGTGACACCATGACACTTGTAGATGGTGTTTTTGTTCCTGGGAACTTCTGTTCGATGACGCAGGGGAAAGAACTGCAAACGGAATGAATCTTCAAGTCTAAAAAAAAAAAAAAAATAGAAATGGAAGATCTAATTTTTTTTCCAATGCTTTTCCCTAAAATGCCTGGAATTCAGTGTTTTTTCTATGGTATATGTAGAGTAATTAATTTTTTAAAGTAAAAACGGATAAGGCTAGAAATGAAAAGGTGAATTAATCTTTTAATAACCCTAACAATATGCCCCATTAACACAAAAGTATGTGTGCTGCTGACACTAAGATTAAAATGCCAATGTATATCTATTCATTATATAAGCATCTCTTTTCTTACAGTCAGAAGACATCGAATCATTGATTCCTAAAGGATTGCCTGAGTTTACAAAACAGCAAATTCGCTATATTCTGCAGGTGAGATGGGGTCAGGAGTAGACCTGTGAGAGCCATATTAACAAACTGCATCCCAAGATGCTTCACTTAATTAAGAACAGAAAGACACAAGTAAAAATACTTCTTCACAAGAGTTGATTATACATTTATTAGGCAAGCATTGCATTATTGTTTAGTCAGACTATTAAAAACTAGTATTTAATGACTAGTATTCCCCTGGTTTCAGTTTTATTGATTTCTGTTTTAAAATTGCTAAAAGAATGGGTTTTTCAAGTTCGTACCACAAAAATTATTTTGTTATTATGTTTATTATTTCATTTCTTTGCTTGTTATTTTTTTTGCTCTTCTTTGTCTAATTGCTTGATGTAGAAACTTACCTTATTGATTTTAAACCTTTTCTGTTTTCTAACATAAAGATTTAATGCTATAAATTTCCCTCTTAGCATGGCTTTAGTTGTGTATCACTAATTTTGTTATGTTGTATTTTCATTTCTTTCAATTTTATGTACCTAAGGATTATTTAAAAGTGTATTGTTTCCATACAATCATGTAGGTTTTGATCAACTAGTTCTAATTTAGTATTGAGTGGTGTTTGTTTTTCCATTCTTGTGATACTTCACTTAGGAAAATGGTCTCCAATTTCATCTAGGTTGTTACAAAAGATATCAGGTCTACATATTTTTTATGGCAGAAAAATATCTAATGATACATATATACCACAATTTATTAATCCATTCATTTATACAAGGACATTTGAGTTGTTTCTATATCTTTGTGATTTTGAATTGTGCTACTATAAACATTCAAGTGCAAGTGTCTTTATGATAAAATATCTTTTTTTCCCTTTGCATAAATATCTAGTAGTGGGATTGCAGGATCAAATGGTAGATCTACTTTTACTTCTGTGAGGAATATCCACACTACTTTCCAAAAAAGTTCAAACTGAGGGGAGGGAGAGAAGGGATGGGTAAATTTCCGCCCAGTGGGTATGTTGCATCGTTGCATGAGTATTTTTCACACTGCCTGGGTGAAGGACAACCATACAAATGCAAACTATGTAACCAAAATGCATGTATCCACACAATAATCAGAAATAAAAATAAAATAAAATGTAATTTATTTAAAAATATTGAGAAAAGTATATTGTTTAGAGATTTCAAACTGTTTAGAGATTTTCATATTTTATTTCTGTTAGTTATTTATAGTTTGATTCCATTGTGGTCAGGGGACATATTCTGCATGAGATAAATTCTTTTAAAATGGTTAAGTTCTCTTTTATGATCAAATATATGATCTCTTTTAGTATATGTCCTATGGCCACTTGAAAAGAATGTGTATTATATTGTTAGGTAGAATATTCTATAAATGTCAGTTAGATTCATTGATTTAACAATGTTGTTGAGTTATTCTATATTCTTTTTTATTTTTTGCATTATTTATTTATTTATTAGAGACAGAGTCTCACTTTGTTGCCCTCGGTAGAGTGCAGTGATATCACAGCTCACAGCAACCTCTAGCTCTTGGGCTTAGGCAATTCTCTTGCCTCAGCCTCCAAATAGCAGGGATTACAGGCACCCACCACAATGCCCGGCTATTTTTTGTTACAGTTTGGCTGGAGCCAGGTTCAAACCTATCACCCTCAGTATATGAGGCTGGCACCCTACCCACTGAGCACAGGCGCCCCCCAGTTATTCTATATTCTTGATCATTTTCTCCCTAATACTTCTACCAGTTGCTGAGAAAGGAATAGAGAAGTCTTTAATTGTGGATAATTGTGGATTTATCTGTTTCTCCTTTCAGTTCTATAAGATTTTGTTTCACACATTTTGCTGCCTTATTATTTGCTGCATAAACACTTAGGATTGCTACATCTTCTTATTAGATTAATCCTATTATTATTATGTAGTAACTATCTCCATCCTTGATAATTTTCTTTGTTCTGATCCTTGGTAATTTTCTGTGTTCTGAACCAGATTTTATTTAATATCAGTAAAGAAGCTCCTGCTTTCTTTGGATTAACAATTGTATGGTGCATTTTTCCAACTTTTTAATTTTTTTTCTTAAATTTTAGAATATTATGGGAGTACACATGTTTTGGTTACATAGTTTACTTTAGTATATTTAAGTCAAAGTTGTAAGTGTGCAATTTTCTCTGAAAGTAAGGGATATACCTGATAGGTATGAGTTTACCAAATTCCTCTCTCCAATGTATCTCTTATGTATGAATTTACCCATCTTCATTTACTTTCATATATGACAGTAAACAAGGGTTTTAAAGCAACTGTCACAAAATAATTCAAGAAGAAACTACAAGAAGACTTAAAACAAAAGCATACAATGTCTCAACAGCAAAATATAAAGTCTCAGAAAAGAAATAGAAAATACAAGTATAAAGAGGAAATAAAAAATACATGAAAGTAAAAGAGGATGGATAAATTCATATATATATGAAATTCAATATATGAAATTTATATTCAATATGAAATATACATATGAGAATATATACAATAATTTATATTATATTATAAAAGAGGATAGGTAAATTCATGTATATGAAATTCAATATATATGAAATATACATATGAGTATATATAATAATTTTTATGATATTTGAAGTAAGATTCTTATAGACAACATACAGTTGGGACATTTTGTTTTATTTATCTACTCTGTCAATCTCTGTCTTTAACTGGTATGTTTTCTAAAAATTTCAATTATTGATATATTACGCTAGATGTGTAATTTTTTTTTTTTTTTTGGTTTTCTGTTTGTTCTATTTTCTGTTTACCAGTGTTCTTTGTCATGCTTTCCTATAGATTACTTAAACTTGTTTTAGAATTACTTTTTGATTTGCCTCTAATGCTTTTGGGGACATCTTTTTTAAGTATAGATTTTTTAGTGGTTGTTCTAGGTATTATATATCCATAACTTATCCCAGTAAATTGTGTCAATGTTTTAACAGTTTCAGTGAATGTAGAAAAGTTTGCTTCCTTTATTTCTCTTTACCCTCTACATTTATAATTATCTTAAGTATTCCCTCTACCTCCAATGAGAACTAAATTAGACAGTGTTTATATATATATATATACACACACACACACTTTTTTTGCTTAAACTATTTAATATAATTTAGAAAACTCAAGAGAAGTAAGAAGACCTTTTATATTTACCCATATTTTTCTTACCATGCTATTTGTCCTTCTTAGTGTCCCAAATTCCTTTTGTTACTATTTTCTTCCTTTTTAGAGAACTTATTTCAGCTATTCTTTTAGGGTATGCTGACTAGTGACAAATTATTTTCATTTTCCTTCACCTGAAAATATGATTGTTTTCCTCTTCATTCCTAAAGGATAATTTCACTAGATATAGAATTTGTAGTTGACAATTCTTTTGTTTTATCACTTTAAAAAGCTTGTCAGTTCCTTCTACCCTCTAATGAGAAACTATTGTCATTTGACTTATTATTCCCAATAGCTAAGGATTTTTTTTTTGTTGCTTTCAACAATTTTTAATTTACCTTTAGTTTTAAGAAGTTTGACTCTGATTTGCTTGACTATGAGTTTCTCTGGGTTTATACTGTTTGGGATTTATTTAGCTTCTAGAATATATATGTTGATGTTTTTGCTAATTTGAAGAAGTACTCACGAATTTTTGACAGTATTTTTTCAGCTCCACCTTCTTTCTCCTTTTCTTTCAGCACTCTAATAACATGAGAGTCAGATAATTATAATCCCATAGACCCCTAGGTCTGTTTATTTTTTTTCAATCTATTTACTTTCTGATATTTGAATTATGTATTTCTATTGTTCTCAATGGTTAATTCATTCCTGTTCTTTCTATTCTGCTTTTTAGCTTATTTGTTGAGATTTTTTTTTGTTTTGTTCTTTTTTCTCTGATTGTTGTAGTTATTGAACTTTTCAATTCTAACATTTCTGTTTAGTGACCCTTTATACATGTATTTTCTATTTCTTTACTGAGGCTTTATGTTTTGCTGTTGAGAAATTGTATGCTTTTGTTTTAAGTCTGATTGTAGTTTCTTCTTGAATTATTTTGTGACAGTTGCTTTAAAACCCTTGTGCAATAAGCCTAACATTTTTGTTATGTTGATGTTGGCATCTATTTATTGCTTTTTCTTAAGAGCTGAGATTTTCCTTGGAAAATCTTCTTTCCTTAGAATAAACATGTGGTTTTCAATCAAACCATGGCATTTTTGCTACTATCTTATGACATTCTGGATATCACTCAAATATTCTATTTTTGCCAGACTCTTCTGATGCTCTGAAACATCAGAGAAAGTACAGGCACTGCCTAATACTACCAGCCAGAAGTGGAAGTCAATGTTCCCCCACTGAACCCCTCTTGATGTGATAGGGTGAAATACCAAGCTTCTTTCATGATCTCAACTGATACCACAATGCTTAGGGCTTTATTTTTGCCCAGGGGGTATGAAAGCCCCATCTCTCCACTTGGCCTTCTCTGACACCAACCTGATGAATCCTGTTGATGTACCTTCCTAGGCCTGCCATGGGGAGATATCTAGGCTCACCCTTTGGCCTTTGATGGTTTGGGTGTGAGTACAGTTGTAGCTTTTTCTGTGTTGTTTGAAGTAGAATGGTCACTATCTGAAAGTTTTCTGTCTTGCTAGGCTGCCTCTTTCACTCTCCTTTGGCTACAGAAATAAAGATTTTCTCAGGACTTTCACTGATACATCTGGATTATCACCTTCCCCCAACATCAGCCTGATATATGAACCAAAAAGAAAATCCAGGAACTCACTATTGTGTCATTCATCAGGTTCCAAGTCCCATAATCAGTCTTCTTTCATTTCACCATTCTATGTATTTTTATATTTGTTTTATAAATTATGTCCAGGATTTTTAGTTGTACTTAAACAGGAGGACTAGGGGAAAATATTTCAATCTTTCCAGAAGCTGAAGTTGCCAGTTTTTTAAACCATTTTTCTTTGAAGAAAAGAGAGTAATCTAATGAAAAAGTTTCTATCAACTGGGCATAGTGGCTCAGGCCTGTAATCCTAGCACTCTGGGAGGCCAAGGCAAGTGGATTGCTTAAACTCAAAAGTTCGAGACCAGCCTGAGCAAAAGTGAGACCCTATCTCTACTAAAAATAGAGAAAAAGAGGCAAGAGGAGCGCTTGAACCCAAGAGTTGAAGGTAACTGTGAGCCTTTACATCACAGCACTCTACCCAGGTTGACAGCTTGAGACTCTGTCTCAATAAAGGAAAAAAAGTCTCTCTTTCCCTTTGAAAATTTGAAGTGGTTCTATACTGCAGAGTTAAATTTAATTAGTATTATAGTCTCACCTCAGGCAAGATTTATGCACTTGGTAGTACACTTAGGAAGATTAATTTTATTACTTGGAAGTTGACTATTTCTTCTCTTCTAATCCTTTTTTTTTTTTTTTTTTTGAGACAGAGTCTCACTTTCTCACCCTTGGTAGAGTGCTGTGGCATCATAGCTCATAGCAACCTCAAACTCTGGGCTCAAGTGATTCTCTTGCCTCAGCCTCCCAAGTAGCTGGGACTACAGGCACTGGCCACAACACCTGGCTATTTTTAGAGACAAGGTCTTTCTCTGGCTCAGGCTGGTCTCAAACCTGTGAGCTCAGGCAATCCACCTGCCTTGGCCTACCTGAGTGCTAAAATTACAGGCATAAGCCACTGCATCCAGCCATCTCTTCTAATCTTTTAAATAAACACAAGAAAAATTTAAACTTTTAAATTTTTAAATTGGCTCCTGTGGCTCAATGAGTAGGGTGCTGGCCCCATATACTGAGTGTGGCTATGAGCTGTGATGCCACAAAACTCTACTAAGGGTAACAAAGTGAGACTCTTGTCTCCAAAAAAAAAAAAAGAAAAGAAAAGAAAAGAAAGAAAAAATTATACTTTGTTGATAAGATTTTGTTTTGTAAGAAAGATGATACTTTCTCAAGAAAATAATAATAAGCACTTGTTCTAAATACACAAGTACCTCTTCAGGGAAATTGCTTGGATTGTGTAAACACACTATTGACAAAATGCCATGTATATAGTATCACTGTTCTATTATTGTCATATCAAAATAAAATTATTAAGTTTTCTGATAGTAGCACAAAAATAAGATTACTCTAGCTTATATTGCCTGTTTTCACATGTTAGTAAAAGTAAACCATTAATTGGTTTTTTTCCTCCAGATGAGAAATATGTCTGATAAGTCACTCCGGCTAGTGCTGTCCACATTTAGCAACATACGGGAGGAACTTGGGCATCTTCAAAATGACTTGACAGTAAGATTTATTTGTATTTTTCTTTCCAATGCCTTCTTAGTTCCTATCTTCCTAATACAGAAATAAAGATATTTAGTCCAACTTTCAAAAGTTTAGTACAGTGCAACAATATTATGTTCCCTCAGACATAACTAAATTATTTTCTTCAAACAGTTGATTAGGGTTAGGAGAAGAGAAAAGAGCTGTCCATTGTGTAAGTGAAAAAAATGTTGGACATACACTTAGTATTTAGTTTACCCCTAAGATAATTTAAAACTTAGAGTCAGAGATTAGGCTGCAAAATTAAAATAGTGTGACTCATTGAAGGTGAATTTCACCATTTTGTATATAATAAAGCATACTCCAAATTTCTATTCAAAAATTATAACTTCAAAATTTCTTTCTCCGAGAAATTTAACCTTTTCTATTTTAATTAGTATTCCTGGTGCCATCAGCTAGATACATTCAGAATATTTTCCATATAATAAATCAATTTTTGAGGATTTTGGAGTTGTGTTTTTGTTGTTTCTTGAGTTATAATGAACACATTTAGACTCTAAATTAAAGATTTACCACTTGCAAGGATTAAGAAGGATTTCTTGTACTTTGGGCAAAAACATTGAAATATTTCAGAAGGTTCTGCTTCATTGCACTTAGAGTTAGTCGTTCCATCAAAATCTCTCCTTAAATACAGGTTTCTAATATTTCTATCCTATTCTTCTATCTCATATTTTGCTTAATTTTTAAGAATTTTGCTTTATTAAGCAAGTACAAATGAAACGAGTGCTTATTTAAATTTTTCAAGGTAAATCAGTCCTTGTATTATGTAACTGTTGACAAGTATCTATAATTCTGAGTCATAATAAATAATTTATGCTTTTAGTCACTGGAAAATGACAAGATAAGACTTGAGAAAGACTTAGCATTCAAAGATACACAAATAAAAGAGTATGAAGAACTCTTGGCATCAGTGAGAGCAAATAATCGCCAGCAGCAGGTAAGTTGATGCTTTTATTGATTATAAACTAGATCAATAGATTTTTATATGTACAATTACTAAAACATTAGAATTATAAGATATAATCCAGGTAGACATGATGAAACAATTTTTTCTTATGAGAATTGAGTGGTTTGGGGTATTTACAATAACTGAAATCTCTCCTAGAACAAAAGATAATGTCATACATTTTAGATGTAAAGTATATATATGGTACAAAATTATCTGTGTGGTTGGATGTTAAAAATTGTGTAAATACCAAAAATATAGGTTTGCTCGTATATTTAATCTACTAACATGTCAATGAAAAAAAAGATTTGCAAATATTAATGCATGTTTGTGCAGTGAATAAATGAATGAATAAATTCTAGAGGAGCTCTCCAGATGTCTGAGCAGAGATTATTCCTAGGAAATTGTAATGAGTCTTAAAGCTCACTTCTTACTAATTTCCACTCCTATGAAAGCCTCAAATTATTGCTCAGTTACTAGTTTTCACATAAGTAATGAGGCATATGGTTATATGGTAACTTTTGTGCCTACTAGGTGGCAGGATACAGTATTGTGAAAGGGTAGCAAGAGTCTGATTGTTAAATTGGGACATTAAAAATTCATCTAGTATTGATTCCTTCTCACTAATGATAGGCAAGTTAGACTAGAGGCAAGATTATATTTTACATGGCTAATTTAATATACCATCTAAGGGCAAAAATATAAGAAAATTGGACATGAACAAATAATTTCTTGATTTTAGCTGGGTGTCACTGTATTATAGGATTGTACCTATAATCCTATCACTTTGCGAGTCTGAGATGGGAGGACTACTTGAGGCCAGGGTTGCAAGACCAGCCTAGGAAACATAACAAGACCCCCATCTCCACAAAAAATAAAAATTAGCAGGGTGTTTCCTGTAATCCCAGCTATTTTGGAGGCTGAGGCAGGAGAATTACTTGATCTTGGGTGTTCAAGGCTGTAGTGAGCAATGATTGTGCCACTGAACTCCAGCCTGGGTAACGAAGTGAGAATTAGTTACTAAAAAATGAAAAAGAAATTGGAGTGGCGCCTATGGCTCAAAGGAGTAGGGTGCCGGCCCCATATGCCAGAGGTAGTGGGTTCAAACCCAGCCCTGGCCAAAAACTGAGAAAAAAAATGAAAAAGAAATTACTTGCTTTGACTGAATGAATCATTTAAAAGAGCACTCCCTCACAGAAAGTAAAATGCATTTGTCTCATGTACCTGTGTCTTCTTTACAGCAAGTACTTCAAGACTCAATCTCAAAATGCCAGGCTCTGGAAGAAAACAATCTCTCTCTTCGACATACACTATCAGACATGGAATATAGACTAAAAGAATTAAAATATTATAAACATAATTTAGAGGAAGAGAATAAAAATCTTAGAATGCAGGTATTAAAACTTCATTTTTTATTTCAAATTAATATGAGGGTACAAATGTTTAGGTTACTTTGTCCTCACTTCTAGAGTATAAAACTTTGTTTTAAATATATAGTATTGCCTTAGTTGTGCTATTGTAATCCTAGCATTGAAAATAATATACATGTACACCATGGAATACTATGTGGCCCTAAAGAAGGATGGAGACTTTACTTCCTTCATGTTTATATGGATGGAACTGGAAAATGTTCTTCTTAGCAAAGTATCTCAAGAATGGAAGAAAAAGTATCCAATGTACACAGCCCTATTTTGAAACTAATTCATAGCTTTTATAGGAATGTCATAACCTAATTATAGCCTTAGAATATGGGAAGGGGGTGGGAGGGTAAGAGAGGGGAGTGGATGGGGGGAGGGAGGGAGATTGGTGGGGTCACCTCTATGGTTTATCTTACAAGGGTACAAGTGAATCTTTCTAAAAGCAGAGTATGAATGTTTTAACTCAATAACTAAGAAAATGACATGAAGGTTATCTTGACCAGTTTGATGAGAGTATTTAAAAATGTACATGAAAACAGCACACTGTACCCCATGATTGCATTAATGTACACAGTTATGCTATAAGAAATTTAAAAAAAGAGAGAAAGAAAAAGAAAATAATAAATATATTTGTGTGTGTATGTATATATATATTCTATTTATCTTTTTGGTTTGGGACACAATCTCACTCTGTTGCCCCAGGCTAGAGTGACAAGGGATTATAGTTCACAGCAACCTCAGACTCCTGGGTTCAAGTGATCCTCTTCTTGCCTCAGACTCCCTAGTAGCTGGGACTACAACCACCCACCACAACACCCAGCTAGTTTTTTCTATTTTTAGTAGAGATGGGGTCTCACTCTTGCTCAATCTGGTCTTAAATTCCTTGGCTCAAGAGACCCTCTTGTCTTGGCCTCCCAGAGTTGTTAGGATTATAGGCGTAAGCCATTGTGCCCCGGCCTATTCTACTTACCTTGAGAAAATACAAGGACTGCTTTCTGATGAATTAACACACAGTTGGGTCTTATCTCACTGACACTTGAGCTTTTTAACATAGTTTCTGAAAATTACTATCATTATTTCAATGTCTTTTTTTATCATGTGGTTTTCATCTGCTAATAATCCTTCTAATGTAATGTGTATTTCCTTCATAATAACCTAATTACAGAAAATGATTTTATCTTGTGTAGGTTTCTGAGACTTGCACAGGCCCAATGTTGCAGGCTAAAATGGATGAGATTCGCAACCATTACACAGAGATGCTAAAAAACTTGAGAATGGAGAAAGATAGAGAGATTTGCAAGCTCATGGTATGTTGATCCTACAATGCATAAATACACAGGTCAGCACAAACTATCTAAGAAGATAAAGATGGTTTCAAGTTTAAAGCTACAAGGAAAAATTAACCAAAAGTAGAGTTTTAGGACTACAGTATGCTGGAGAATCTTTCATTTTAAAATGACATTATTATGTATAAAGTAGAACTGTTTTCTAGTTTTGCATAATCTTTTTCTAGGAAAGTAAAAGATGAAATTCATTTCCATGTTTTGTTTTTTTAATAATTTCTTTTTTGGAGGCCAGTGGAGAACTCTTTGTGATCTTACTAAAAGCATGCTGATGTGGGCCAGAGCAATGTTTGAGTTTATCCATCAAAGCTAAAAGTGGATTCATCAAAATTTGAGGGATGATAAATAACAAAGATTTTAAGGGATGATAAATAACAAAGACTTTGTTAAACATGAGAATATAAACAGTGTTGAATTTTATGTACCTATAATTGGCATCAAAATTAAGATGGCATTTGCAAGAATAAATTACCTTGTCTTGTAATTCTAGGTTGAATTAACCTAGTCTAACCCTTAATTTACTGTTTTCTGAATGTACTTACATATTTTAATGAATGATAAACACATATTTCTTTCTCCGAATTTCAGTATATAATCTTTACCAAATATCAAAATGAAAAAAAAATTGTTTAAAAAGCCTACCAATTTTTCTGGCAAACTTCTTCCACCTATTTCTTTTCCATTTCAATGTAACTAATACAACTTCAAGCTGGCAGCAATCTATGCACACATAAAAGGTAAAGAGGAAAATGGATAAGATTTGTAGTCAGGAGACCTGTCTTGGAGTGGCACCTATGTGACTCTATGTCATTTAACCTCTATGGAACTCATTACCTGTTTTGTAGTAATAAAGCATAGTAATGCTTATCTCACAGGGATGCTATGAGGACTGAGATAAGTTATGCAGAGGAATATTTTGAGAACCAAAAATCAAGACATAATATTAATTATTTGTGTTGGGATTTTCTTAATTAGTATTTGAAGGAATTGAAAGTGCTTACATTCTTAGCTTTATTTTAAATGTTGTAGCCCAAGACTGTTACTTATATAATGCTTAAATAGCCTAAATAGCAAAGGCACCTTAACAAAAAAGGACAAATTCCTAATTGGCATTTCAATTCACATTTTATATGCATATAATTGTATAGAAGTTTTTAACCATTGATATTTTACTTTTCATTTCATAATTAGCTATGTGAATTTGTGTCATTAAACCTCCCTGGAACTCAGTTACATATTTTGTAAATGAAGGTTATAATAATACTTATTATTTTTAATCCTTAGTCCCAATTAAACCAGTACCAAAAAGATGTTTCAAGAAAAGAAGGAAGTTGTACTGACTTCCAGTTTAAGCTTCATGAACTGACAGGCTTGCTGGAAGAGAAGGATTCCCTTATAAAGCGTCAGTCAGAGGTAAAAAAAGGAAGGGTTGGGATGAAGAGAAATAATACAAATGAGTCCTATAGGATAAATACTTCCCATGGACTAGAAAAAGGCACATTTCCAAGATTCACTTTATTACCTGAACTAGAATGTAAATGCCTGTGAAGAAGTAGAAGATACATATAATATTTCAGGAAAAACTATTAAAATGAAATCTAGAATGAAGCAAAAAATAAGTTCTATAGTACATTTAGTATTTTAAGACATTTATTTTATATCTCATTATTAGTCAAACTCCCAATAAGACTGTGAGCTCCTTGGTAGATTATGAGCTGATTCATCAAAGTACTGTGTTATATTCCACTCTAAATATAAAGCTTGTCGCCCGGGATCTGGCATTCAATAGGTACTGATGTGTAGTCAGGAGACCTGTCTTGGAGTGGCACCTATGTGACTCTGTGTCATTTAACCTCTATGGAGCTCAAAAGGAATTACCAAAAACAATGGGCTAATATTGTATTGCTGATATTGAACAAGTGGTGCTTGTATTAATTTTCAGTGATGGACTTCCTGTTAGTAATCTATATCTGCTTCCATATTGAGATTTCAATACTTTTCTGCTATGGTTATACTTTTCAAGCTTTCTGGGACAAAATTTTCACATCTTCATATTGAGAAACATGCCCATTCAATATCAAGTAATCTCAAGTAATAGATACAAGTATACTGTATACTATTATCAGTTAGTGGTTTCATGCATATCTGTATAATATAACTTGTTAGGTACGTGAAGCAACACTACATGATATTATTAAACAAATGGGAAAAGAACAATCTTACCTTAAGACTGAAAAGAAAAGGGGGTAATTATTCTTCATAACATTGATATCTATCGAACATACCTCTTTCCTCATGTTTCTACTTTCCATCGAATGACTTATGTTGTCTTTTATTTATAAGGAACTCTCAAAGTTGAGACAAGAAATACATTCATCTCATAATCAACCCTCCAATGGTGGAAGGACTACTATTACTACTAAAAAGTAAGGTATTTTTAAATAAAATTTGAATATGACTGTGGTTATTATATAGTCGAAGTTATTGCATATTTAATTGATACATATTATATAGAGTTAATTGCATATTTAATTGATATATATTATACAGAGTTTTCTCCTGGCCAGTCATTCTACTGAAAAATAAATATTCACTGTGAAAGTGAAAAACAATTTTTAAACCAATTACATTAGTTATGACACTTTCTGATGCATGTAACAGAGACCCATCTTAAACTGGGAATTAGTTAATTCACTTCATTAGTGTTGCTTGGCACCCAGATGGATTTGTATACTCAAAATATATCTTTATGTCTGTCTTTACATCTTGACTCTGTTCTTTCCTGTGTAGATGTCATTCTTAGGCTCCCCCTTCATGGTAGTGATAAGACCATAGCTTACATTCTAGCAATTTACTGAACCAAAGTGTAAAGTAACTCTGAACAGCTTTATAAAAAGTCTATTTTTGATAATTCATATAAATGAAATAATATAATATGTAGTGTCTGTGACTAAATTCTTTCATTTGCATAATTTTTTCAAGATGCATCTGTACATTAGCATGTGTCAGGACTTCATTCCTTTTGGTTGCTAAATAACACCCTATTTTATAGATACACAACATTTTATATATTCATCAGTTGACGGACATTTCAGTTGTTTTCAATTTTTGGCTATTGTGGATAGTGCTGCTATGAACACCTATGTATAAATTTGTGTAGTATATATATTAATTTCTTTCAAATATGTACATAGGAGTGGAATTTATGCATCACTTGATAACTCTATGTTTGACAGCCATACTATTTTCTAAAGCAGCTGCATCATTATACACTTACACTCATCTTTGCCACCACTTTTTTTTAAATAACTTTATTATGATATAATTCACACCACACAGTTCAGCCATTGAAAATGTACAGTAAATGGATTTTTTTGCATATGCACTGAATTGTGCAACGATCACCACAATTTAACTTTAGAACACTTTCATCATCTCCCCAAATTGCCCTGTTCCCACTAACAGTCACCTCCCATTCCTGCTTCCCCTCTCAGCTATAGGCAACTACTAATTTTTCTATCTCTATATATTTGCTTATTCTGGATGTTCCATATAAAGTGGAATCATGCAGTATGTGCCCTTTTGTGTCTGATTCTTTGATATAGCATAATGTTTTCAAGGCTTATCCATATTGTAGCATGTATCAGCATTGCATTCTTTTTATTGACAATAATATTTCATTGTTAGGGGAAAACCATATTTTAGTAAACTGTTTATCAGCTGGTGAATATTTGGTTTGTTTCCACTTTTTGGCTATTATGAATAATATGGCTATGAACATTCTTGCACAAAGAATTATATAAGGGTACAAATGTTTATGTTATGTTGTTTTCATTTCTAAAGTAAAGTTCAAGTTGTCTTTGTACTCTTTGTGGTGGGTGTATGTTTCCAAGTCTTTTGGTATATACCTAGGAGTAGAATTGCTAGGTCATATGATAACTCCATTTGGCATTTGAAAGGACTGCAAAAGTATATCTTTTTTTTTTCAATCAAATACTTATGATTTATCTCTGGACTATCAATTTTAATCACTTATGTATATGTTTATCCATATTTGGTACCATATCTTTTGATTATAGTTTTCTGGTAAGTTTATTTTCTTAATTGGGGATTCATTGAGAGTACAAGATGTGTCATACACTGAGATCCCACCCCCTCCCTCCTTCCTTCTCTCTCCTCTTCTTTTGCCCCACCCCCTCCCTCCTCCTCTCTCTCTCTGCTCTTCCCTTTCCGCACCACCACTGTGCTATTAATTGTCATTAATTGTCCTCAAATCAAGATTGAATAAATAGGATTGATGCTTCTCCATTCTTGTGATGCTTTACTAAGAATAGTATGTTCCGCTTCCATCCAGGTTAATACAAATGCTGTGAAGTCTCCATTTTTTTAATGGCTGAATAACATTCCATGGTATACACGTACCACAGCTTGTTAATCCATTCCTGGGTTGGAGGGCATTTAGGCTGTTTCCACATTTTGGAAATTGTAAATTGAGTTGCAATAAACAGTCTAGTGCAAAGGTCCTTATGATAAAAGGTTTGTGTTTTTTTTTTTTTTTCCTTCTGGTTAGATGCCCAATAATGGGATTGCAGGATCAAATGGGAAGTCTAGCTTGAGTTATTTGAGGTTTCTCCATACTTCCTTCCAAAAATGTTGTATAAGTTTACAGTCCCACCAGCAGTGCAAAAGGGATCCTTTCTATTCCACATCCACACCAGCATCTGCAGTTTTCTATTCCACATCTGCATCAAAATCTGCAGTTTTGAGATTTTGTAATGTGGACCATTCTCACCAGGGTTAGATGACATCTCAGGGTGGCTTTAATTTGCATTTATCTTATAATTAAGGATGATAAGCATTTTTTCATATGGTTGCTAGCCATTCATCTGTCTTTTTGAGAGAAGGTTCTGATCATCTGTCTTCTTTTTCCAATTCTGTAAGATGGCTTGTGAATTTTTTGATGTGCTCTTTTTCTGTTTTTTGAATGTAGGCTTCTAAAGCGATAAATTTTCCTCTCAGGGCTGTTTTTGCTGTATCCCACAGGTTTTGGTAGCTTGTATCTTCATTATTGTTGTGCTCAAGGAAATTAATGATTTCCTTTTTTATGTCTTCCTGCACCCATCTGTTATTTAGCATAAAGTTGTTTAATTTCCATGCCTTTGTGTAGGGTTGAACGTGTTCACTGAAGTTTCAACTCATTGGAGTTGAATTCCACCTTTAGTGCCTTGTGGTCTAAAAAGATTCAAGGTAGAATGTATATTCCTTTTTTTGGGAGAGTCTTCTGGTAGAGACCAGAAAACCTGCTAGACAAATTCTAAAAGAGCTGTAATACTGAAGGACGTATATTCTTTAGCTTTGGGATGGAGTGTTCTATATATGTCTATCAAGCACAGTTGTTCTAGGGTCTAATTTAAGTCCCTTATATCTTTGTTTAATTTCTGTTTAGAGGGTGTGTCCAGCTATATAATAGTAGTGTTAAAATCTCCTGTTATTATGGTGTTATAGGATATCATATTGCTCAGAATAATTAAGGTCTGTTTCAAGAATCTGAGAGCATTCAAGTTGGTTACATAAATATTTAGAATTAAAATGTCCTCTTGTTATATTTTTCCTTTGACCAATATGAAGTGTCCATCTTTGTTTTTTTTTTTTTTACTTTATTTGCTTTAAATCCACATGTATCTAAAAATAAGATTGCAATCCCTCTTTCTGAGCCTCTCTTCTTTTTGTCAACACTCCCTTTTACTCACCCCACTCCTTGCCTTTTTTCCTTTATTTTTTAAATCTTTTTTCCCCCTTTTGCTCTTCAATCTTCTCATCCTTCTGGTTCTGTAACAAAAGGACTCATCAAAAACTTAGGCCAGAGGCACAGTTACTTAAAGAGAAAGAGGAAGTGAAGTAAAAATTAGGGAAGGAAAACAGATAAAAGAAAACACTCACAAGGAAGAATCAGCAGAAAAATCCTGGCAACATGAAAAACCAGTCCAGAGCAATCCCCCAAGGGACTGTGAGCTAGCTACTGCAGAGGAGTCCACCTATAAGGAAATGTTAGAAATGACAGAAGGGGAATTTAAAATACAGATGATGAAAACAATGAAGAAAATTGCTGAGAAAGTGGAAAATAACCAAAAAACAATGAACGAAATTGTTGAGAAAGTGAACAATAACCAAAAGGAAATCCAAAAACAGAATCAAATAAGAGATGAATGATATGAGGACGACAGAAAGGATATAGCAGAGCTAAAGGGACTGAAACAGTCAATTAGGGAACTTAAAGATGCAATAGAAAGTATCAACAACAGATTAGATAATGCAGAAGAAAGAATCTCAAAGGTAAAGGACAAAGCTCTTGACATAACTCAGATAGTTAAAGTGGCAGAAAAGAAGAGAGAGAAAGCAGAATGTTCAGTGGCAGAATTATGGGAATTTGTGAAGCATTCAAACATATGAGTCATAAGTATCCCACAAGGGGAAGAAGAATGCCCTAGAGGAATAGAAGCCATACTAGAGAATATTATAAATGAAAATTTCCCAAATGTCACCAAAGATTCTGACACACTCCTCTCAGAGGGATATTGGACCTCAGGTCACCTCAACTCTAATTGAGCTTCTCCAAGGCACATTGTGATGAACTAGTCCAAAATCAAGACAAAAGAAAAAAAAATTGCAAGCTGGCAGGAGTAAGCACCAACTGACCTATAGGGGCAGATCCATCAGGGTGATCACAAACTTCTCTAATGAAACTTTTCAAGCCAGAAGACATGGTCATCCACCTTTAATCTACTTAAACAGAACAACTTCCAGACCAGAATTCTATATCCTGCTAAGCTAAGCTTTAAAATTGATGGAGAAATCAAATCTTTTACTGATACTCTAACATTGAGGGAATTTGCCACAACAAGACCAGCTCTACAGGAAATACTTCAACTTGTTCTACACATTGACCATCAAAAGGGACCACCAGCAAAGTAAGCACCCAGAAAATAAAGGACAGAACCTAGCTTTCACAGTAATGCAAAAGACTAAACTAAGCGATGGACTTTCACAAAATAAGATGAGTAGAACACTACCACATTTATCAATTATTTCAGTAAATGTTAATAGCTTGAACTCCCCACTGAAGAGGCACAGATTGGCTGATTGGATTAAAAAACACAAGCCATCCATTTTCTGTTTGCAGGAAACACACTTAGTTTCAAAAGACAAATTATAGCTCAGAGTCAAGGGTTGGAAGACAATTTTTCAGGCAAATGGAATCCAGAAGAAAAGAGGGGTTGCAATCTTATTTTTGAACACATGTGGATTTAAAGCAACTAAAGTCAAAAAAGACAAAGATGGTCACTTCATATTGGTTAAGGGAAAAAATACAAGAAGAGGACATTTCAATTCTAAATATTTATGCACCCCACTTAAATGCTCCCAGATT